TTAAAACTCACTTAAAATGTTCTTGTTCTCTTCCATTGGTATATTTTAAGTATATTTTAAGTATATGATGTATATTTAAGTGCATTTTAAGTATCTAAACTTTGTGTAGGGCAAGACCAAATCTTAACAACGTTGCATTGAATTTTCAGCAAAAAATTTATAATTCTATTTGATTATTGGGATAAAACTTCAGATCTTGGTTTACTGGCAACTATATTAGATACTAATTTGAAAAAGTTGTCTTTATTTGATTACAGCACTAACAAAACACAATAGAAGAATCAAAAGAAATTTATCTACAATATGAGGAAAATGAAAATTTTCAAATTTGTCATTAAGATATTAATCAAATTTTTTTAAATCGAACATAATAAGATGTCTGAAGCAGATAAATATTTATTCAAAGATCTTTGGATTTGGTGGGAAAAAAAGAAAAAAGAGTCTCTAATTCTCTCAAAAATATCTGGGAAATATTCATCAATACAGCAACATACGTACCTGCTGAAAGGCTTTCCAGTGATGTTGATGATCAGATTAATCCCTAGTGTTCATGTTTAGCACCTAAACTTGTTAATTAGCTTTGAAAAATAAATTTAAATTTAAATTAAATGTCTAACTAAAATTCCTATCATATCTGTGGGTGCATAATAACAAAATTCAACAGGTGCGTGATTATTTTGTGATAATAACGAACGATCTGCAGCTAAAGGCCTCTAAAATTAATTTGTCCAATCATACTTGCGTTACGTTTTTTTTTGTTTTAAAAAAATTTATTTCGAAATGAATGGTATATATTATTCTTTTTTAAAAAAATATATTATTTTTATTTATTTATATTTACAGTTGGTTATTTTAATAGATTGTTGGGTATATATTGATAATAATAATGATAAAATCAAAGAAATCTTAAAAATTTATCATGATAATAACAACAATTGCAATTATGATGAAAATGATTCAAATGATAGTGAAATTTATGGTTCAAATAATGGTAATGAGATTGAAATATACGAAGATGAAAATAATGATAATAAAATTGGCAATGTCAGTAGTAGTGATGATGTAATTGATAGTGAGGATGGTAACAAAAACAGTGATCAGAATAACAATGAATTTTTTTGTAAAGCTTCAAACTGTGGTAAATCTTTCAGGGATAAAACTTTACTTAACCATCACAGTAAATTTCATGGTGAAAAAAATTTCAAATGTGAGTATCCAGGATGTGCAAAAGCTTTTTCTCAAAAAGGAGGGTTAAAAATACATATAAGACGTCATCTTGGAATAAAAAATTTCAAATGTGAGTATCCAGGATGTGTAAGAGCATTTTGTCAAAAAAGCCATTTAACAACTCATACAAGACGTCATCTTGGAATAAAAAATTTCAAGTGTGAATATCCTGGATGTGCAAGAGCATTTTGTCAAAAAGGTGATTTACAAATACATACAAGACATCATCTTGGAATAAAAAATTTCAAATGTGAGTATCCAGGATGTGCAAAAGCATTTTGTCAAAATAGTGATTTACTAAAACATACAAGACGTCATCTTGGAATAAAAAATTTCAAATGTGAATATCCAGGATGTGCAAAAGCATTTTGTCTAAATGGTGAATTACAAACACACACAAGACGTCATCTTGGAATAAAAAACTATGGATGTAATGTACTTGGATGTGACAAAAGATTTATTAGAAAAACTGAACTCAGCTTGCATAAATTTAAACATCATTAAAATTTGGTTACATGATGATGTTAATAATTATTAAAACTGTTAAGAAATTTTAAATTTCAAGTTTTAATTAAATAAATATTTGTTACAAGATACTCATGTAACAATAAAATTATAATTAGACAATCAACATGTTTACCAGTACAATATAATTGTTTAATCCATCCTGTAAAAATAACTATTTGGTGGTTCAGGTATGAATGATGCATGTAACTTCCATATTTACCTTGTTTGTCACTCATATGTGGTTTTTTCTACTTTGACCAAAAATATCTGCCAAAAAAAATTAATTGCCCAAAAAATTTTTATAAAAACCATCACACCAGGGCTGGAAATAGTACTTTAAAAATCCGGATTTTCCTTTAAAAAATTAACTTCCGGAAAATTTTTAGCATTCAGGAGAAATTTCCGTTTTTTTTCAGACCCTATTTCCAGCCCTGATTGGGATAAAACTTCAGATCTTGGTTTACTGGCAACTATATTAGATACTCATTTGAAAAAGTTGTCTTTATTTGGTTACAACACTAAACAAAACACAATAGAAGAATCAAAAGAAATTTATCTACAATATGAGGAGAATGAAATTCTTCAAATTTGTCAGAAACATTAATCCAATTTTTTTAAACCAATTTTTTGATAATGAAGACCAGGAAGAACATGATAAGATGTCTGAAGTGGACAAATATTTATCAGAAGATCCTTGGATTTGGTGGAAAAAAGGAAAAAAGAGTTTCTAATTCTCTCAAAAACATCTGGGAAATACAGCAATGTCTGTACCTACTGATGTTCAGATTAATCCCAAGTGTTCTAGCTTTGACTAAACTAAAATTCCTATCATAAAATTCAACAGGCGTGCGATTATTTTGTAATAGAACGATTTGCAGTTAAAAAAACTAAATTAAAATTAATTTATCCAATCATACTTGCGTTACGTTTTTTTTTTTAAAAAATTTATTTCGAAATGAATGGTATATATTATTCTTTTTAAAAAAATTATTAATTAATTCATATTATTTTATTTATTTATATTTACATTTGGTTGTTTTAATAGATTGTTGGGTGTATATTGATAATAATAATGATAAAATCAAAGAAATCTTAAAAATTTATCATGATAATAACAACAATTGCAATTATGA